TTAGGGAAATAATACTGGGCTCCCTGGGTGATCACTTCCACCGAGGGCCTGGATACCAATAAACTCTGATGATAAAAAAACCCTCGATAATGGATTTGATGCAGATGGATTACGAATCATAGAAAAATTACATTGACTGTTGTTTATTTAGACGAAATAGTTATTGAAAATTTTCAATTTATCGAAAGAAAAAATTTGGTTTTAAGGCTTTATTTTTGACCAGGCGTTCCTAGTAAGGAATAAGGAACCCTTAATTTTTCTTCCATCTCGGGTCCCCCCAATCAACGTGACCCACGTGTGACTCGTTCTCTTTCGCCGGCCATCTTGAACGAACCAAAAAAATGGTTAGTACCTCTGAAATAATAGCAAAATACTCTAAAACTAGCCTCCTGATAACCACGAAAATAGCTTGAACTCAAAGAATAATAACTAATATATCACCCAGGCATATTTTATTCCAGAATATTCTATTCGAGGGCTATAAAAATTGATGTTCAGTAAGCAATTCTTGTGAGGGAAATTCATCCTTGCGAAAGCCTATTCAAACTCCTTCACAAATTTTACATATTTAGACTTTTTTGCTACCAAAATAAACCTTTCCTACCTTAAAATGTCATAGAGAAATCAATAGTTTATATCTTAGTTAAAAAACTAGGATAAGTTCAAGCTAAAATATAGTGTGATTTGCTCTACAAAATTGAATATCGGTTCAACCAATAACTTAAAAAAATATTTAAAATTCATTGTTCTTTTTACCATTTGTTTTAAAGGAATGAAAAATAATAAATTACCTTAAGCAATATTTTTGGATAAACTTTGTTTCATACAAAATATTGTCCTTTTGCATTCACTTCTGTTAATAATACTTTAACTATTACGTATTGTACATGTATATAGGTGCTAAAAGATATTTAAATGTGAATATTATTTATAATTGTTGCATAGGCAGCGCGCCCTGTCATAACAGTCTTTAATGAAAATGGAGAGAAGGGTGGACAGACCACACTCCCAGCGGTATTCAAAGCTCCAATCCGCCCAGACGTAGTGTCATTTGTACACTCAAACATGTCCAAGAACAAGCGTCAGCCCTATGCCGTCAACAAGCTGGCGGGTCATCAGACATCAGCGGAGTCTTGGGGTACTGGTCGTGCCGTGGCTAGGATCCCACGTGTGAGGGGTGGTGGTACACATCGCTCTGGTCAGGGTGCTTTTGGCAATGTATCCTCGTATACTCGTTTTTAGTCAGAAAATAATGCTTCTTTGAATGAATATAGTGAAATCTTGGGTGGGGTGCAGCTCTATCGATGGTTTTCAACCATTCCCAAGAAAATCAAATAACAAAAGACATAGCAGGCATGTTGGAGGATATAACCAAAGAATTCATTGACAATTCTTTTGTTAAAGTCCTCCAACATGGCCGACATGAAAACCATCAATAGAATGTTTCTTAAGTTATTTAGATACTTTTGTACTTAAAAATGAATCCTAAGATAGAAAACTAGATTAAAACAGAAGTTATTTATTCTCTCTTACCCTTCCTAAACCATTGGGATGAAATCTTTGTTCCACTTGGATTTTGAATTTTTTGTCTTATAACATCACTATGTATACAAATACAGACCACAGAAATATGGACATGCTACCACCATTACTCAAATTGTTAATAGCACTGAAATAATGATTGATCATATTTTGAATTTAGGTCAACTTGTGACAATTTCTAGAGTGTTAATTGACCTCTACATGAGGTCTCTGAATGGTTATGTGAGTTAACTGAAATTTAAATCGTGACCGATCGACCAACTGGCAGTGCTAAAGTTAAGTGCTTTCGGTAACATTTGTTACGAAAATGAGAGTTCCACACCTTTTTCTCCTTAACCTGGTGTAACAGATGTGTCGTGGAGGACGTATGTTTGCACCTACCAAAACCTGGCGCAGATGGCACCGCAAAATCAATGTCAACCAGCGCCGTTTTGCTATGTGCTCTGCTCTCGCAGCCTCTGCACTCCCTGCTCTGATCATGTCTCGTGGACATCGTATTGAGAACATTGAAGAGGTTCCCCTTGTTGTGGCAGATTCTATCGAGTCTGTTACAAAGACAAGTGCTGCATTGAAACTTCTCAAGGCTATTAATGCCTACAATGATGTAGAAAAATGCAAAGAATCGAAAAAAGTCCGTGCCGGCAAGGTATTTTTTTAACCTTACTTACTTCTGTAGTTTAACTCTACAACAGCCGTATAAAACTACTACCACTTCTTCGACCCCTCATTTCATAAATCCTATTGCTAATTTCTCACAGGGTAAGCTACGTAATCGTCGAACTGTAATGCGCAAGGGACCACTGATCATTTATAACCAAGACCAAGGCATTCGTCAAGCATTTAGAAATCTTCCAGGAGTTGATCTTCTTCAAGTTGACAGACTAAACCTACTCAAACTTTGTCCTGGTGGTCACCTTGGAAGGTATCTTTTTCCTTTTAAAGTTTGAACTTTATTTCACCAATAATGCTATATAAAAATAATATAAAAATTAATGGCATTTAAGAGTGGCTTTTCTAAACAGTTGCTCGTCATCCTCTCAATTCTAATTTACTTCTTTAGCGCAAGCTGTCACATGGCGTAAAAATGTTTTGACTTGTGTTACAGTCACCAAAACGTTCGGACATTGTTCTCGAATTTCCGTGCAAATGTACTTACTTTAAATGAACTATTTGCTTGGTTTAGTAAGTTCTCTAAATACAAGTAACTTATCATTTTTCTAGCTTGATTGAAGCTTTTCTTACTGCTTTTAAGAGAGCTAACTAAAGAAATCTACCTAAATTTTCTCCTTAAAATCAGTGAATTTGTATGGAAATCCAAAAACAATTTCCGAACTTTTTGGTGACTGTAACACAATCCAAGCTAGTGCCGAAAAGGTGAATTGTATTGGATTGTGTTACAGCCACTGAACAGTTCAGACATCGTTCTCAGATCTCAGTACAGATGTACTGGCTTTCAAACAAATTATTTACTTGATTTGTTTAGTTAGCTTGCTAAATACACGCAAATTATCATTCTTATGACTGGATTTAAGTTTTTTTTAAATAGATAAACAAGAAATTACATTCTCCAATGTTTTGTTTGATCACTCGTTTGTATAAAATGTTGACAAAAGTCTTTCACTATCTTGATGTTTTTAGGTTCATTATCTGGTCTCAAGGTGCTTTTGAAAAGTTAGATGGACTTTACGGAACATGGAAAAAGCAGTCTTCAGAAAAGAATAGCTACAAGTAAGTTTTTGATGCAAATTCTTTGATTGCACATTACCGCCGTTTGCATTACTACACAGCCACCCCAGACACAAATCTCGTCATGTAGTTTGCAATAGACTGCCGTCAATCAAACACCTCATTCTACTTCATGGATGTAGTCTCTTTGCAATCGCTTTTGGAACTTTCCTTGTGATATCTGGCTGAGAAAGTTTGATAGAAAAGCCAACTTACTGATCCAAACGTGTATAAATGGCGTCAACATGAATGATTGATGGTAGTCTATTGCAAACTACAAGACATGGTTTGTGTCTGGGGTGGCTGTGTAGTAATACAAACGACGGTAAGTCATGGCAGTCTCTCAGGGGAGCGTTGGTGCCATTTAAATAAAAGATTACTCATTAGCATCCATCTTTAACGGTACCATAATGGCTGCCATATTTTTGTGTTTTGACTCTCTTGGGAATGCTTGCAATGCATCAAATTGTCAAAAAAAAACTTCATCTCATTTTTGATAAATTTTTGAACATATCGTGATTGTTTTTTTATGGTTTATTTCAGTCTTCCACGTCCAATGATGACCAATTCTGACCTCAATCGACTCATCAACAGTGACGAGGTTCAGTCTGTTGTTCGTCCCACCAAGTAAGTAATACTTCAGCATTTTTTGTTGCATCACTAAAACTAATTATCATTTTATTGATGCAAATCATAGCATTTCTGATTTACAGATTGAAGCAGAATTAACCTATTTCACTTTGACATCACAGCTTGTTTATAAGGGGGGCAGAATGATGAAGAACMATAAGAATTTGGACTAGTTTAACTCTGCATCTGAATATGATAGCTCTGATATGTTTGGTTTTCAAACATGTTATAAACTGGTGTTTATAGTTTTTTGACATCTCATATTTATTTTCTAATTCCTAAAAAATGCACTTTTTTTGCAGTTTTCTTTGTGTTGTTGCTGTTTTGTCCCCCTCCCACAACTTGATTCTTAGCATTAAAACAAAAACAAAATTTTTATGTGACTTCATGGTGAAATAAGGCAATTTATTGTGTTACGTTTTGCAGAGGGGGAAAATAAGATAACAGGGAAAACCTTTGCATCCAGGGAGACCCAACATTGAAACTCTACTCACTTGCAATCCTAGTCAAGGAATCAAACCCTGAAACCGTTTCAGAGGGAATTACACTACCCCTTAATCAACCCGAGTACTGTCTACTTATGATACTCTACATTAGGGATGAGGGGAAAATAATTGTCATCTCACGGTACCCAATTTAGGGGGAGGGGTGGTGTTACCCGGTACCGTCCACCTCTGGAAGTGAAATCTTAGATTTTGTCTCCAAATATCTCCAAAACTAAAAGCCAATTCACAGAAATGAATAGACTGTCTGTCTTCATGTATGCTAAAAAACATATTTGCGTATAGAAATTCCCACTTCAGACACCCAGTATCGAGCATTTGAACAGGTCTCCGAGGGGGGAGGGGGTATATACCAGTACCCCCCACCTTAATTCATAAAATTGGGTCCCTATTTTGGACCATTGTTTTGACCTTGCCCCTTAATTGTTCTCTCATTCCAAACCAGACCCAGGGGCCGACGTGCACCACTCAAGAAGAATCCTCTGAAGAACCTGGGAGTGATGCTCAGACTCAATCCTCATGCCAAGAGCACCAAGAGAGCCGAGATATTGACTGTGGAGCGCAGGAAGGCTGCTAAAGCAGCTCTGCTGGCTAAGAAGAGAGGCACCAAGTGAATAAATATTACAGGGCTTCTAATACATTGCAATTAAAGATGTATCAATAATATCTTCTGTTGTGAGATTTATGAAGGAGGGGTGGGGACAAAACAACAAGCATCCCATACTTATTTTTCAGCATGACAATTCTCTCTTTTCCAAACATCAGTTTACTGATCTCACACACACCTATTTCAAAAAGTCATTCCAGCTATTCTCCTATTGCTTTTCACCTGTCACCTATTGTATTAAGCAATTACAACATTTTTTGAAATAGTTGTTTAGACTCCTTGCATGTGACGCCAAAGCATCTCAATCTGTGGGACAAAACAAAAGAATTCCAATCTCCTGAGAATTGGAACCTATTGTTTTGTCACCCAGATTGAGCTGCCTATGACTACTGCAAGGGGTCTTTACAGTAGCACTCAACCAAGGATGCAAGGTAGTTTCACACCTTTACAGCCTTCACTGAATGCTTTGTGTTTGACCAGGCAATAAGTGGATGTTTGGCAAGTGAGGAATAATAACACAGTTTGAAATTATTCCCAAAAGAATGATATCAAATGGTGTTAGGGAGGGAAATGATTGGACCAAAGGGATCCCATTCGGTATTTTCAGGATTGAAATTACAGTAAATACATGTTTCCGATTTTTCCCAAAAGGATGAAAAATGACTGCCATGTTTGGTGATAAAACAAGTGAGACCGATGACAAATCTTTTGTAAGTATCATCCAACATGGTGGCTATAATGTCGTGCGAAAACTAGCAAGGTTGCCATACTCTGTTTTTGAGAGTAGAGTACATACCGTATATCCGTGAAAAAGTTAAAGTTGTACAAATTAGTTTCAAAGTTTCGTAGGTCTACAGTCTACTGGGGTTTACTGAACTTACTAATTTGTGCAATTTCTTACAAAGGTTTTTCTTGTATATATGGTATGCACTCTGCTGTAACTCTACTTATCATTGTGCTAAGCATAGTTCAAAATTTGGAATTTTGACTTCACTTAGTCAGATGATTGATGAAATGGGTTTATAAAACAGCACGAAAGAAAACTAACATAACCCGGAAAAAAACTAGTTTACCACAAGAAATTAATGATTAATGTTAGATATGAAAGAAGCCTTAGCAAGCTACACAAAATCAAAATTTATGTTCACACAAGATGAGAGAAAAAGTCGAGATTTAGTCGTACAAATGAAATATTCAGAAGTTCTTATTTGGTGACAGCATCGCGATACTTGGCTTTCAAATTCGTCCTTTTAATTGCAATGTCCAAACTTGGCTCTTCAAAGTCCTCAAAGTAGAATTACAGTGTTGATCTTGTATAAAATCCCATTCATAAGCTTAATTTTTGTTTTTCGACAAAAACTTCGATAATGTTATTGCCAGTTCAATGTCAAAAACAGTCCTACACTCCACCATTCCATTCCGTGCCCGTGAAGAAGAAATCTACTGCCAGTGTTTCTACATCGACTCCATGGTCTGCCAAGCTTTTTCTTCGGTTTCGGATCGAATTAAAATACTGTGCTGCGAAATCCATTAAATTTTCTGGTTGTTCCTTCAAAACCAAGAGTACAAATCCTTCCAACAGATCAGCCAATCCAGGCGGAATATCCCTTTGCACATGATCCATATTCTCTTGTTATTTTAACGACTTTCTTGGGAAGGTGTGAAAATTTTCAGTTAAAAAAGTACGTTGCTTTTGAGCGTTGTACGCGTATCATTTTTACTGCGTGTCAGCGAGATTGCGTCAGCGCGCGCGCGCGTAATTCGAAAATATAAGTTTGAATTGGAGCGCGCGCGGGAAACCACGACCCTTGAGACGCGCGCGGTGCGGGAAATGAAGTGTGACATGGCGGCAGTACCCTCACCTCTTGGGTCTTGATTTCGATCCTGGATTTGACATCACGTGAGTAGAGTTTGTTCTCTCCCTTGTTTCAAGGGGTTCTCTCCCACTTTCCTCGGCTCTTCAAGACCTAACGCGCTAAATTCCAATTCCATCTGTGAGTTAGCTGTGCCCTGGCTAATTATTAGAACAACGTACTTAGCTAAATGCTGTTCTTCAGGTTTCGATGAAATTTGAAGGCTTATCAAAAAAGAAAAAGAAAAAAAAGCGCATTCAAAAAAATTCAAATGTCATGAAAATGTCCAATGCGATTAGAATAAACTGCGTGGGCTTCCTGTGTTACCATTTTTTGAATTCCCACTCGTATCTCATGTTGCCAGAGTTATTCGATACCTCCAAAGAATCTGAAACTTTATCCGTTGATGACCTCGCAAGAATATTCGTCTTTATTCACGCTACTGCGATATACACACGACGCAGGAAGGTCGATCTTCCGACCAACTTTAAATCATGAAACGACTTATTCTAACGCTGATTTGTATCGCAACTACTATTTCAATCGGTAAGTTCACATAACTGAATAATTTTCGTTCAAAAACTATTAGTATCATAAGTGATCTGCCAGTTCAAGTCACTCGTGTTTACATGTTGAGACGCAATATATTTTAACCCTTTTTTTTTTTCTTTGTATTTAAAGTTAGGCTTATAATTAATTGATTCCTACAACAAGATTCGTATCCGCAAATGTTCTTTTGAATCCCACGATTATTTGCTAATTCTAATTTATTTCCTGAGACTTGATTAAAACGTTAGTCGTTTATGTCAGTCTCCCATACAGCCTCTTTAATATTAGTGTCGTCACGACACTAATACTTCGTTCACATTACATCATCTGGTGGACTTAAATTAACGAAAGACTTCTCATTGGATCCTTCTGTACCAGTCCACCAGGATGGCCACCATGTCTTTGTCTATTGACCCGCTTGGGAATGGTTGAAAATTCTCAGGAGATTGGAATTCGTTTGTTTTGTCCCCCAGATCGAGCTGCTTTGGTGTCACACAATGTGTGACAAATATGTTGACAATGCTTAAAGGTTCCAAAGAGTTATATATATTGATATACCTTGTACTTTCTAACGGAATTAAATAGTTCTAACTTTTAAATCTTAACGCTAAGTATGCGAAATACGTGACGTGGGGCAAGAATCAAGGGAAGGAATTGCGTGCAGTTTAAAAACGAGGTGGGCCGACATACAATTTGAACTTCTTGATCAAAAGGGGACAGAAAAGAGCATACTTTATATCCGTTAAAAAATGTTGTGATATATTGCACAAATTTGGGCAAATTAATATACCTCAGTAGACCGTAGACCTAGAATACTTTACACTAAGGCTGCGTTAATGATATATGGCAGAGGGGGGAGCAGGTGAAATTGAGAGGGGATCGGGAAAATGTTGGTAGGAAAAAGGAGGGGATGGGCAAATTTTAATCAGAAAAATGGGGGGATGCACAAGTTTTGGAAGAAGGTACAAGCCTTGCTTTGGGGGGATCGTATTTTTTTGCATGACTTTAATGGGGGGGGGGGGTGTTAAGAATTATTCTGGACATTTCAATTTTTCACCTCCCCTCCCTCCCTCCCTTCTGCCATACATTATGAACGCAGCCTAATTTGTACGATTTTGTTAGTTAACTTTTTCACGGATGTATGGTATACACTTTACTGTACATTAGTGGTTGGTCATTTTCAATTGTTTCTGCTTGGAAACTATTATATTTTTACGTGTTTATATTTTATTTTATTTTCCTCGACATTAGTGACTGGTCTCAAGTGCTATGACTGTGAAAGTAGCATATCGTATGCTGATTGCGATAGTAAGCGTCAAGAACTAACATGTGATGCCTCGAAAGGTCAAGATAGATGCATTAAGGTCGATGTGAGCTTCACGGTGAGTCATCATCCCTCTCTCCTCTCCCTAATAATAATTGAAATTTTACATCTTCGCGCGTAAATTTTTATGCTTGTTTAAGAGTCATTATCATTATTATAATCATCATAATCATAACCACCATCATGTATCAACACCATAGTCATCGTTATTAGTATCAGCATCATTGTTATCATGTATTCTCATCATCATTATCAATCATCATGCATCACCATCAGTATCACGTAATATCATGCAAGATCTTCATCATCCTCATCATGTATTATCACCATAGTCATCGTTATCAGCATCATCGAGATCATGTATCATCATTACGGCATCATCATTATTATCATCATCTATCATTATCATTTATCATCATCATCATGTATCATTCCCACGCATCATCATCATTTATCATCATGTATCATGTATCATCATCATGTATCATCATCATGTATCATCA